CAGTCTGAGGTTTGACGATTTTAAACTTTTCCTAAAATTTCGGAATCAATAATGCGTGTGTGTGGACCAGGGTGTGTACAAGTCCGGAATTTCCGGAAAGTCCGGAAATAGTACTGATTTTTCAAGGGCGGTCCGGAAGTACTGGAAAAGTGCGGAAATTTTGCAAGAAAGTCCGGAATTTTTTTCATTTTTGTCGCAATTTGAGCGGGAAATTCAAATTTACGAAATTTTTCGAATCTCGTCAGTTGAAGGCATATAAGTACTGGATTTTTTGGAAATGTACTGAAAAAGTACTGTAAAAGTACTGATTTTTGGCCAGCCTGTTTTAGTAGACACCCTGGTGGACGGAAAGTGCGGAACTACCATGTCAACGCTACTGAGACTGTAGGTTAACAGTACTCACCTCGGTCGGTTGTTTACAGTCCCCGACGGAAACAATCGAATCTTCAGAGGAAGAATACTTGAAGTCCGGATCTTCTTTATCAGTCGAATGCCAAGTTCGGATGAACACTTTACAGTCCGGTCTTCTATAAAAATTAACGCAAGGGGCATCCCCTTTAAGGGATGAAGCCTGGCCCTCCATTCCAGGACAAACGGGTTTGCAGCCATTGACTTCGACGTCGCATTTTTGACCGCTAAAATGCTTGTCCTTCCAGAGCGTTACCACAGCGGGAGTGACGGACGTGACTGCTAAGTACAGGATAAAGGCGACCGTTGATACTGTCGTAGCTTTTCTTTGCATTTGGTATTGTTTTTGTCGGGTGTTTCCTGCCGAGAAGGATTACAGGATTACGGTGTAGAATCTTTTAAAGCAGTGGCGTGGCGTGCTTTGCGATATATCTGTTACGGGTAATCTAGTCAAACCGGGTAATGTCGACATTACCCGGGTAATGGCGGCAATAATTGACATTACCTAGGCCGTTTTGGTTATGTTAGGTTAGGTTAGGTTATAATACCCGCCATCCCACCCCTCAGTCGTCAGGGAGGGCCGCAGACGGGACCGGCTGAACCTAACCTAACCTAACCTAACCTAAACAAAACGGCCTGGGTAATGTCAATTATTGCCGACATTACCCGGTTTGACTAGATTACCCGTAACATATCGATTGTTATGTCATTTAAATCTATGGGAAAGGATCGATAATCAGGGTGTTCGCAGCGAATACCTTGGTAATCGATTCTTTACCATAGGTTTAAATGGCAGAACAGCGATATATCGCAAAGCACGCCACGCCGCTGTTTTAAATGTGCCGTCAAAGTGGTCCTAGTAATAACCAATCGAATGATAGATATAGATTGACACCTAATTGGAGCGTCCGTCGGAAGAGGGTGTGTTATTATTTGGATCCAATTCGATACAACTGATATCGATTACACCAATAGGCCTGTTGCAAACTTCCGCTAGGGCGAAAAGAATAGTTGTTCCTTGCATAAAACGGGTCAAAAATCACGATGAGCGCATTCGGAAAGTCTGTAATACACTCCTAACTTCACACTCTACGCAAGAAATGTGCGGCATATCTTTGGCATTTGACTCGTATTATTCACCGCAAACGCACTCCCACGGTGAAATCGAGTGATTTATATTCATGCCCGACAAATCGCAGAATATCAGTGGCGTGGCGTGTTTTGCGATGTATCGATTTATCTGTCATTTAAAACTATGGGAAATTATCGATAAACAGGGTGTTCGCAACGATCACCTTAATAATAGAGTTTTTACCACAGCTTCAGATGGGGAAATATCGATAATCGATCATTCACGCCTCGTCACTTGCAGAATGTCATGGCTAAATGCGTTCCAGGAACGATCGATATATTTTTCACAATTCGTTCATTTGGTGTATTTTTTTCGGAAAAAGAAATTCACTTTCTGGACCAATCATTGAGGAGGGTCCGTGCCGAAAATCATATTCTGAAATTTTAAAAAAATTCAAAAATATTTTCTCCTGTCGATCATTCATATTGAGACACTGAAATTTTTTGAATCGAAAGATTTTAGAGCATTATTTTCGGCACGAACATTCCTCAGTGATCGATCTAGAGACTGAATTTTCGATTTTTCCAAAACAACCTACCTAATGGTTAGAACTTGACATACATATTGATACCCAGAATGCGCATCGCGCTGAGGATTCACCTGAAAGTGCTCTCCGTAAAAGTGTCTCCACTCTCTTTGAACACACCAACGTTTCTCTGCAGATGCTAATTCCTTCGAACAGCGCGTGTGAGGCAAATGATTTGCATTACTTACGTTAAACGCGTGTTCTGTTGGGACTAGCAGTCCTTGACACAGTCTGCCTTGCCAGGGAATAAAATAGAGTGAGGAAAAACATGTGCATTTACCGAACCGGATGAAAATCGTCAGCAAAATTGAAGGTCATCATTTAAAAAACGAGACTATTTTCAGAAGCTCATCTGTTTCGGAATTCTTAATATAGCGCAGAAAAATGAAAACCCACTTCAGGATACCATTTCCATGTCTTGTTAACTGCTTCCGAATTTGATATTGCTATCCGAAGCGTTAATAAGAGTCACTTTATGACTACTACCAGCCGTTATTATGTTTACTAATTTCAGTGCGTGTCTGAGTAACACCTGAATGTACATGGTAATTATCTTTCTCTCTGTACACTACATCTGACGTGAAAAATGTCAGAATCACGTGATGCTCATGTGGCCGAAATCTCTTTTCAACCATTTTGGGGGTTTGACCCTTCTAATAAGACACTGCTTCTTACTGGTATATAATAGAAATACAAAAAAATTGGAATTACAACTTCTTTATTTGAGGGAGAGAGGGTATTGATAATTTATAATTTGTATCCAGGATTTTATCATCTTGTTCTTCCTAAGGCGCAATTTGTTATGAACACTCTGTACCACGATTTGTTTGTTCCGAGTTAAAACTAAAGGTCCTGGAAAGTTGAGAAAAACTTTGTATATCGTCTGGAAAAACCTTAAATATTTAAGAAATTTTCCTCAGTGGTCAGGGCGAAAGTCAGAGGATGAGCTTTCAATGTTTAAAATTCGCCTTTAAAGCAGGTCGGCGAGTTTAACGTTTTCCTTAATTTGAAAGTCATTCCCTTTTCCTCCGAATAGACATTTTCCCTTTAGGTATCAGGGCAATTTAAGGACAACTCGTATACAAATATTTTCATGAATTAGACGAACGCCCGAAAATATTGAATTACCTACTACTGGTTGAACTCAAGAAATCGTTTATGAAAGAGCACAGGTCACTGTGGAGGCTTACATCGTCATCTTCAGTAATCTTAGACCAATCTTTGGATCGCTTTGGAGCAGCCAGAAAATTATAATATCCACAATCAGAAAATGTCTTACGTATCACAGTTGGAGTAGATGTGCATTTAGATTTGCCTTTTCTCTCGTTACTACACCCGCTATTTCAGATATTGTTTCAACACCGTTTCAGGCAGCGGTATACTTATTTGATCGGCTCACTCTTATATCTCACAAAGAAGGCAAAAGCTCAAAAGTTTTTGTAACGATTTGATCTCTCGTAAAATCGGCATAAGTCTTCTGTGCCCGAATAGGTCTCTCCAAATCGGGTCCCATTCATTTCCCCGTTCTAGAGTTTTGATCGATTACATCGTTACCGAATTTCTAAAATTTTCGTTTCGACAAGCACGTTGAATTCCATTAGGAAACTGAATATAGGTAGCTCGGCAACGTGTTTGATCGAGTCATTTCATTTTCTTCCTCAAGTGGGATGATGGATGCGCCTACCGATAAAACTCGGAGAAAGTTCAAAGCCAGTGCATTAGCTAGTTTTCCTTCGATTTAGCACGTTTCAGGTCATGGGGAGGGGGAGAGTGAAGGGAGTAGAAAAAAGGGGGCAAAGTAGGAGGAATGAGAGTGGGGGTTGGGGGCTTCACGTTTAAGTTTTTGCGGCTATTGGAAACTCACAAGTACGCCAGATTAAGGTAATCGCACAATTTTGCTCTAACGGGTGAGTTTCGCCTTGGGTAAGTTGCAGTACTGCCGCTTTAAGGAAAAACGCCGTATGCGCCGTCAGGCGTTGCCAAATTACTCTCGACAAATCGCGAACTTTCAGAAAAGTTGTGAATTTTCCTCTTCTGATTTTTCTTTGGATTTCGTTTGTAATTTGAATTAAAAAGTCTGTAAATTTCAAGGAAAAATATTCATAACTCTCTTTGAAAATAAGTATCCTCTAGGAGGAATTTTGGCAACATTCGAATGCTCATACGTGTTTTTGCTCTGCACGACAGAGTAGGCGATGTATCATTTTAGAGTAAAGCCGGTAACCAAATAACCATCAATTACGCGGAGGTCACAAAACGATTTCATCGAGATAGTAATTTTCAATAGAGCTCTTCAAAGGGATAATGTATGCGAGCTTATAATGAACTTTCACTGCAACTTCATTAAAAAAGAATGTTTTTCATCCCCCTCCCGCGGGCGACTGAAAGTTGTGCGTTTATTTTAAAAGCTGCAAAATAATCAAAATATTAATTTGCAAAAATCCGAAAATCCTACATTTATAGCTGCCATGAAACATTTAGGCTTCAGCTGAAAGATTTTTGCCAGTGGCGTGGCGTACTTTGCGATATATCGATTGTAATGCCATTTAAACCTATGGAAAAGGATCGATAAACGGGGTGTTTGCAGCAAACACTTTAATAATCGATTCTTTACCATAGGTTTAAATCGCAAAACAATCGATACATCGCAATTTACGCCACGCCGCTGATTTTTGCCTGAAAGAAAGACGTCATTTTGGTTTTTCCGGAATTTCGCACCGCGTATTTGTGTCGAACTTTCAATCCCGCACCTTGCAAAAGCTTCATCCAAAATTTTCCTGCGGAACTTTGACAATTCCAATGAGGAAAATTGGCAGCGATTATCTTCCTTACCGCCAACGACGCTCTCGTTACTTCTGAGTGATTGCTCTTGTGAGACGATTTTTTCTCAGTCTCATTTCATTGATGTTAATGCTTGTTTTTGATTTGTTGCAGAGGCTGGTCTGGTACTCACCCGATGACGCCATCAAAATTTGCGTCGTCAAAGGGAAAGACGAGGTAAGTCCTTCCAATCGTTAAGAATTTTCCTTTCATCTATTTAGTGAGCTTTTTACAATTGAAAGTTCTCGCAATCCTCATAATTGCTTTTTTCTCTTATTTTTCTATCTAAAACACTGAAAAATTAGTGCGTGTGGCTCGTGTCGCAAATTTGTTCCTTGAAAAATGTCCCATTTCATTAAAAACATTTTTGTAGCTGCTCCTAAAAATAATTGTAGATGGCGCCTAAAAAACAGAATTCTGGCCAAATGGCTCTAAAATCGTAGTGATAATAGAGCATTGCAAATGAATCGGTTTCGCTAGAAAGGCACAAGTCCAAAAACTCGTGAGCCCTGGCTTTCATTGATTTTTCACGACGCACAGTGGATCGAGTCAATTAGAGAGGTCAGATATGAAATTTTCTAATTAAAACTGCAAATTTTTATGTTTATTCCGTCATATTTTAAATTTCAAGGGGTGGTTCTTGAAGGAAATTTCATGAGAAAACCAATGGGACCACTTTTAAAACCTCAAAGTATTGTATGAACGGAGTTATAAGCGTTTAAAGTTTCCAAATTTTGTCCGACCTCTTCTATTGGCTTATCCACTGTGCGACGTCAGGGCTCACGAGTTTTTGAATTAAAGTCCTTGTAGTAGAAACCAATTCGTATCTTCTTTCGGAAGAATTTCGCGCACCCCTAAATCCAGTGAACGTAACAGTTTTAAAAAAATGAACCTAATTTCGCAATCTCTTATGTTGCCAAATCTGTGCCGCGGTGATGAGGTATACGCATTTAGACGTAACCGGAACCCCGATCTTTGAAATTCCCGGAAAACTCGTGTATTTTTCCCCTGCATTATACAGAGAATTCTTGTTGCCGTGCAATATATCTTGTATGAAAATTTCATGGAAACGTTTTCATACACTGAAAAAAAAAATCTCGGTGTATTTACTAAGGAAAAGGGTAAAATTACTAAGAATTCAGGGTTCTATTTGATCCCAGTTTTTTCTTGGTATAATTACCATTTATGGAATTGGTAATTTTACCGAGAAATCTCCGTAAAATTATTGACTTTTTCGGTAATTTTACTGGACCCCGGTAAAAGTGCCAATATTTTTTATCGACTATGGTAGGATTACCGAGATAGAATGGCAAAGTTACCGGGAATTGATTACCAATAAAAGAGGTATTCGTACCTGAAAAAAACAGTAAAAATACAGGTTTTTGGGAAAGTTTACTAGTCTGTCTTGGTGAAATTACCAATAGTTGGTAAAAAAAGCGAGATGGTAAAGGTACCAACGGACCTCGGTAAAAACGCCGAGAATTTTTTTTCTGTGTAACTCTGTTTAAAAATAAGTATTTAACTGGGCGAGATTGAGAAATTCAGATACTCACACGGTGTTTTTCCCTCGGAATGCGGGTCTGTTGTTTGAGCCGCGGGCGAAATCTTGGAATCGATAGGAAGCCCCGGAGCAACGCCTGTCACCACTCACCATCCATCGCGTCTTCGCTCCCTTTCCCAGCGCCCTCCGCGCCTCCGACCGATGTCCTTTCGGAAATAATTAAATTTCCATCCTTTGTTCCCGGGACATCTGATCCGCGACCGCAGCGGGGACCCGAGAGAATCCGCCCGCTGTTTTACGGAAGAGGACAGTAACTCCACTTGAACATGAACCACCACTAGCACATACTCTTATGCGCTGCGAGGCTCACCTTAAAAGGGAGTTACGCCTAGGAGAATCCACCCGCCGTTTACCATGTAAGAAAGAAGTAACTCCATTCGGGCGTGAGCCGTCGATAGCACGAGCTGTAGCGCGCTTCGGGGCTCATTTTAGAATGGAGTTACTGTTCTCTTGCGTAGTACGGCGCGATCGCGGGGCCGCTGAAATCCTATCGCGCCAAGCCCGACTCGAATTAGGCGGGAAATTGCCTGAAATTAACTTCCGGCCGCCTTGTTTTCTGGACGCGGGATCGCGGAGGGCTGGGGAAGAAAGTAAGGTGCGAGTAGAGGGTGTGGAAAAAAGAGGGAGGGGTGTTCGTCAGGAAAAAGTGCCGAATGAGGTCAAAAATGGGAAGACTCCTTGTAAGTAGGTGCCGTTTAATATTTCGCAATTTTCCAGTCAAATAAGGCATTTTTTTAAAGGCCTACGCAAATATACACATTTTAAGAATGACGTAGCAAGTTTATCACGATTTTGATGTAATTCTGTGCCGGAGTCTATATCGCGCCCGAATTTGAACTGCCCGCTCACAAGAAACTCAAAGCTCTACGTGAGTCAAATCGCGCACTACAACGGTTTCATCAAGCTTCTCAATCGAGCAATGCTCATTTCCCACCATTTGTTTTTTAAACTATTAGCAATTTGCTATAGCTGAGCCAAAGCGTCAACATTGAGGTTGCCAGATTTTTATATCGCAGTGACTGTCGTGATAACGTTTAGCGCGCAATGTGAATCACGTAGAGCATAGAGTTTTCATGAGCGGGTGGTTGGAATTCACGCACCAAGAATCATTAAATATCTTCGTAAGGTGATAATTTCGGTACTTTTCGTTGTGTGCATCGTGTTCTACGTGAAGTTTTGGTTGAGAAACATGTATCAGAATGTTGAAGTACGTATCTTGTCTAGTGGTCCATTACTCGTGAAAATCAGGAACCCCAATCAATTCGAAGCCGCAGTCAGTCGGAAATTTCCGGATCGCTCCGACAACGGCGCGAGCGACCGCTAAATGAAAAATTCCCGGATTATGCATGCGAGGCGAAAATCTGGCCGGAATAGCGGATTCCGCGCGGGGATCCCTCGATCGGTCGAGGGGGCATCCAAGCGCCGCGCCGCACAGTGGATCGAGTCAATAGAAGAGGTCGGACATAATTTGGAAGCTTATAACTCCGTTTATACAAAATTTTGAGGTTTTAAAAGTGGTTCCATAGGTTTCCTCGTGAAATTTTCTTCTCGAAGCACCCCTAAATATTTAAAATATGACGAAAAAAACGTCAAAATTTCCAGTTTTAGTCAAAAATTTCATGTCCGACCTCTCCAATTGACTCGATCCACTGTGCGCCGCGCGCCGGGGGCGGAGAGAGGGGGGCTTTAATACCAATCACGAACACAACCCAATATTTCACGTGGCTCTGTGCAGTCCTATTTTTACGAGCGTCAATTTATCCCGCGCTCCCGCCGGGGTCCCGATCGGGGCGCGGGGTTCCCTCGCTGCACGCGCCACGCTGCATCCTGGTGGGGTAGTCCACCGCCGATTTACGGGGTGGTTACGAGTCAAGTGCGGAGGCTCAAGTGGATTGCATTTTGCAAAAAGGAACCACTAGCATTGCAATGTTGCTAAAATTGTGCAACTTCTTTTGTCTTGGAGGAAAGACCCGATTATCCCTTGATGGTTTCTATTTTACTCGCTAAAAATTGTAAATTTAAGACAAAAATTACCATCTAAATTTCATAGTTTTTCACAATTTCCGCAATTTTATTGCAAAGGATGAAGTTGCACAATCTTAGCATCATTGCAATGCTAGTGGTTTCTTTTTGCAAAATGCAATCCAAGTAGTCCATGCTTCGCTGGCGGTGATTCTCGTATGCTCTCAACCGTGTGTTTCGCACACTTTCATGCATACACAGTAAGGTATGGTAGCCGATATTTAGTGTTAATATGGGAAGAAGAACGTTATACGTAGAACGTAACGTTACTTAGCGTTACTTAACGTAACTTACGTTAGAACGTAAGAAGAACATTAATACGGGAGTGAGGTCTGGCAACTGAAGAAAAGAACTGAAGACATGCTTAGGGCAACTGAGATGGACTTTCGGCGGAGGTCTGTTGGGATATCTAGAAGAGAGCGTATCCGCAATGAAAAGGTGCGCGAGATAATGGGTGTGGAGAAGGACATCGTGTACGATATCAGGTCCAAGCAGTTGGTCTGGTATGGACATGTGCGAAGGATGGCAGACGATCGGTTGCCCAAGCAGGTTTTCGATTGGGTTCCTGCCGGCAGGCGACGGCGTGGACGTCCTGTGGAAGGTTGGTGACAAAGGGTGGAGGAGGAGATCAGAAGGTGCCAATCGCCTGATGATCTCTGGGAGGTAAGGGAGCAATGGCGATTGGGCGTTGCAGAGCGCGAAGCTGCGCTATGAAAGCGACTTAATCTATGTATGGGAAGAAGAACACAGAGTAATCTAAATGTGGGGTCAATATTCTTTGGTCAGTTTTTCTTCGGGTTAGGGGCCGTTCAAGTATCACGTAACGCACTTAGGGGGGGGGGGGTGTAAAGCTCGAGTTGAACGTGGAACAACCAGTGCAAACGTGCGTCACAGCGACGGATGAAAGCGAGGTGAAAGAAACCAAGGATGTCACTACCGCGGTGGATGAAGTCAGAAACTCGACTTTTCAAAGGGCGATATCTCGGCTAATAGAACGCAGAAAGCTGCTATTTGGACAGATTTTATTATTTTTAGCTTATCTACAAGAATCTAGCGACAAAACATGATTCTGTGACCAGCGCAACTGACCCATTCCTATGCACATAGTGTCTTTCTATTAAAATCATTTTTCAGTCCTATGAAGCATGAACACGTTCAAATCGGCAACCGTTACCGAACGCCCTCCCCCGGCGAGACCAAACCATTTCCGAGTTGAAACTACAGGGATCATAATCTCAGCGTAAACCTGTCGTCTTCGGGATTAAAACGTCTTTTCGGGACATGAACTTATCGCGCCGCTGAGGTTGAATTCATTACGTCGCGGCCCAAAGGGGTGGANGGGGGGGGGGGGGGGGGGGGGTTCGCAGCGGTGCTTTGCGTCAAGTTTGACTTATGCATGTCCCCTCTGTCCCCGGTACGTGTCGCTCCGATCCGGCGGCCGTTCTGCCGCGCTAAGGAAGAACGCCGTATGAGTATTCGAATGTTGCCAAATTTCCTCTTAGAAATTACTTGTTTTCAAGGAAAGTTATGAATATTCCCCATTGAAATTTCCAGATACTCCAGATCAATTTACGAACAAAATTCTCTGTAAATT